GGGGGGGCGGGGGTTGGGGGTCTTTAGTGGGTGGGCTTCGTTGTTTGTTTGTTTGTTTGTTTGTTTGTTTGTTTGTTTGTTTTTAACAAAACGGTTGAAAACAAACCATCTTTTCCATCATCAACATCACGAATGAACTGAGGCCAGGGGGGGTGGGGTTTGGGGGTGTTTAGTGCATGGGCTTGGGGGGGTCTTTATGACCGGACATTCTATTCGGGTGAAGACGGTAGTGTGAGTTTTTTTTTTTTTTTTTTTAAAGGAAAAAACTATTATTTATACAAAACAGGGAAGCGGGCCCGGCATCCCTTACAAGAAAAGCAGACCGAAATTCCAGATCCCGCAGCTCTGGCCGGATTCAAATCTGGAGGGCAGGAAATTTCCATCCTACGTAATCACACCAACAATCACCAATTACCCAACAACATCTGCACGGTCTCCAAACTACCCTGCTCTTCTACAGTAACCTACCGTAACCCATCCCATAACCGAACAGGTAGTGAACAAAGCAATACCCTTCCTCGTAGAAAGACATGCTGAAATGGGAACCAAAATATAATTAACAATTAAATGTGTTTTAAAAAATTGAGATCCAAAATCTCACATGGTAAAATACAATTCACACTTTCTTTCTTTTTTTTTTTCTTTTTGTTCTCAATTCACACTTTCGAAATACCATTTGGGAAGTTAAGAAACTGAATTGGAACTTTTTTTTTTTGGAACAAAAACTTCGGAAGTAATGAAATTTAATTTTGAGGGAAAAAAAGAAACATTGAAAGCTGTGAAAATGCCAAGGAGTCCTTTGGGACATCTACAGAGAAGGGTAATTAGCTAGGCTACCAGAGTGGCCCGGGACCACTTGCCCGGCCAGAAAAATAAAATAAAAAATATATATCTTTTTAAAAGTTTTATACATCTTTTTAAATTTTTATTTTAAAATTATGAATATGGATGAACCTGTCCATATTCTGCGGGAAGAGGCACTCCTTTCGTTTTTCGTTTCATGTGCGGTGCGGCGAAGCCCTCAAGGGCCTCAACCAGTGACTTGGGCAGTGGGTCCACAAAAAAAAAAAAAAAGGCCTTCAGGAAAAAAAAAAAAAGGGAAGAGGCTAGCTATTCTTTTTTTTTTCCGTCTTTTTTACACAAAACTCAAATCCATGGCTAGCTATTCCCGATCACCCCCCCACCTACTCTTGAACCACTACAGTCTTCCCCCGAACAAAATGCACGTTTGAAAATTACAAATATAACACGTGCATTATGCTACGGATACAGGGCACCAACTTTCAAAAACGCCCCCCCCCAAAAAATTAGTACCCTGTCTCCGTACTTGTCCTTCGAAATTAGCATGGCCTCTGTGCAAGAATGACATGCATAAATCTAGAAAGAGTCCGAATGTAAAAAAAAAAAAAGGGCAGCCCGTCAAGAAGCTGGGCGGGAGCAGTTCGGAAGGAGCGAGCAGGCGAGAGCGATCATGAGGGAGCGGGTGGGAGCGAGCAGGCAGGATAAGGCAGGTGCGATAGGGCAGTTATGTGTGTGTGTGTGTGTGTGTGTGTGTGTGTGTGTGTGTGTGTGAGAGAGAGAGAGAGAGAGAGAGAGAGAGAGAGAGAGAGAGAGAGAGAGAGAGACGCTATTCGTGTGTTCTATTTGAATAGTACACCTATACTATTGCGACGTGCGTACTATTTGATTTCCGGGGGCGACTTTGAGAAATGGACTTTTCCAGAGAAAGTTGAATAGTACATACGTGCGTTTTGTTCGGGGAAGACTGTAGTACATCCAAACAAGGAGATTGAGCCTCTCCTAAAAAATAGGAGGCCATGAACCGCCGATTCATTTTATCAACGGTCCATGACCTCCAAATTTTTAGGCGAGGCTCAATCTGCTTTTCCGGATGTACTGGTGGTTTAAGGAAGGGGAAAATGAATAAAATGAAAAAATCACCTCCGTTAAACCAGCACCACCTCCGAGCCTGTTTTTTGCCAGCCCTGATTTTCACTGCACACCAAGTTTTGCCGAGCCTGGTGTTCGTTTTGTTTCTAATCTGGTACTCTTCTGAAAAAAAGGGAAAAAAAAAGCACGGCCAGGCTTTCAAAAAACAACTCGCTCATAAACACAAAACAGAAAAAAGAAAGCAAACAAACACCCCTTTGGACGTGATACCAGGTACATACCTACCCCAAAGTTGTTGTGTGAGCATGCCCTCAGTGACGGCGCTACCGCAGGGGTGTCCGGTCCATGGAAGAAAAAAGGAAAAAAAAATGAAACTGAACTTAGGGCGGGAAAGCGGGTTCATACATTCTGCAAAGTAGTAGTGTGGGCATGACCTCCTCCACAAAGTGTCAGCAGCCCGTGGACTGCGCTGTGCCTCCCTGGCAGTGCACCAAACAAAAAAAAAGAAAGAAAACAAAAACGAACAACGAAAACCTGAAACTGGCCACAATAGTAGTTACCTACTTTCTTGTGAGTATTGGTGTGAGCACAACTTCGTGCACGGCTTCCCTGACTTGGGGCGTCGTTAGACACTCTTCGGGGACGCGACTCCAAGGATTTTGTCGTCGTGGAGCATCATCGAAGACTCGTCAGGGGGGGAATCATGAGACTTCTGCCCGACGGCCGGGCGAGGCGCTGGCTGCGCGATGGCGGTGAGGCGCTGGTCGCGGTTGGGAGGTGTGGCGCTGGTTGCTCACGAGTGGTGAGGCGCTGGCCTTTTGAGAGGGACGAGGCAATGGTTTTTCACAAGTGGCGAGGCGCTGGCAGCTTTCACGGGGCGAGGCACTGGCTGCTGGTGGGTAGACACGAGTGGGTGAGCATGCTGGTGATGTGGTGAGGGGGTAGGAGCGCAGTGCGCTGCTGTCACCATCGCGCTCTTCCAGCGCGTCGTAAATTGAACGATTCCGCATGGCGCTTCTCGCCATCTTCACGTTCATTGTTGACATCATCAGGGTGCGGTGGATCTTCCTCATCACTGTGCTGCTTCTTCTCCTTAACCTATTCATTAGTTTCTTCATCCTAGGGCAGTTCTCACCGTCATCATCTCATCGAGTTTTCCATTCTCATCAGCTTCATCAACCATCATCATCATCATCATCATCATCATCATCATCACCATCCACCTCTCAATTCTTATTTCCCTGTTCTTTTCTACACTTGAGGTTGTAAAAATCCTCCCCACAAGGTTGCTGACATGGAGGGCAGGATGGATTGAGTGGGGAGAGCTCTTTTCTGCGGGGGAAACACAAGGTGGGAAGCGTTTGCCTATAGGGAACAAGGGCGGACAAAGGGGACTGTGTAACTCTGGGGCTGGGAGAGATGGAAGGCGGAACATCATCCACTAGCGGTGGCAGAGTAGGGCAGAGAGAGCTTGAGGGAGGCTTTTTGGGGGAACAACCTTCTCTGAGGGGAGTAAGGTAGAGGGAGGCTTTCCTATTGTTGGGGCTGTGAGGAACCGTTCAACAACAGAGTRGTTCTKATTAGTGGAGGCAGCAAGGGAGAGGAGGGGTGGTAAGAGGGGAAAAGAGGAGGGGTGGACAGGGGAGGGTCAATCAACATCAAGTATCATTATTATCATCAACATCATCAACATCATCAACATCATCAACATCAGATTGGTTGTTTGCTCAAGATCCCACTATTATCAGATCCAAATTCTTAGGTTACATTCTAGTCTGGCTGATTTCCTAATTGAGATTTTATTGTGTTCTTGCCCAGGTTGAGTAGCATCCAGAATGACGCTGGCCGGTGCTGGGGCATCGCCCTGTAACCTTCATAGGCGCTTGAGGCCTTGAATAGAGATCTGGGGATTGCTGAGGGTGGAAGGCAATTACAATACTTGACCAAAGGCTACAATCTGGCCGACGAGGGTCGGCGCTGGGGTGGGTGGCGCTGCCCTGTAACCTAGCTAGATTGGGGTGTGAGGCCGGGTAGAGGCTAGGTTGGTATACAGTATTGGCTCGGTAGAGACTGGCTGGTTGGTATGGATATCTGAGATTAGGGTTAGTGTAGTATGTGAGATCTGAGTAGATAAGCACTCTGAGTAGTCAGCTTCAATCTCTAACTTATTATCTCAATCATCCTGAAGTGTTCCGGAATCATCCCAAATTTTCATCAATCATCAATGTATTCCAATTATAAGGGACGTTGGGCCCGGTTCCCAGCACAGCAGCACGAATAGATTGGAGCATTTAAAAAAAAAAAAAAAAAAAAAAAAAAAGGATTTCGTCGTCGTTACACCTGTCCTAGGAGATGAAATTCAAAATGGAAATGTGAAAACACTACAAATCCTCGGGCTCCGAGGATTTCCCAGCCAAATTGTCCTCGGCTCCAAGGGACCTCGCAAGGTCACTTGGAGCCCGAGGATCCGCAATTCTCGGGGTGTCGGCATCGAGCGTAGAAGGAAATTTGGAGGCCGAAGGTGGTCCAGTCGTGGTGCAGGGGGCAAGCGACGGACATCATTGGCCTTCAACGTCATGGATGTCTTCCAACGGCCTCCGGCGTTTACCGTTGGCAGTGGGTGGCGACGGGGCGCATCGTCGATTGCAGCCAGCTGTTTTGGGGGTGCGTTGCATTCTGGCGGGGTCTCCAACGGTCGGGAATATGAAATTTTTAGGCATGCTGGCAGCCGCTCGCCAACAGTGATCTCCTTCGAGTGTTTGGGACTGCTGTGCATTGCCGCTGTCTGCACATGCGACAAGAGACGTGCCTGTGGAGTGTCCTTGTCCCCTACTGTTCATGGCTGACCTCCACAGCAGGCTGCCACTGCTGCTGCTCATCGTCGTGCCGCTCGTTGTGGTTGTTGTGTTCGACTGCTGTTTTCCGGGGCGACTTCCTGGGAGGAAACAGACGAGGCATCTCGGAAGTAGTCGTCCGCGGCGTCATCGCACACCCGCAGATCTTCCCACGTCCCTCCCGTTCTCCGTTTCATCCACCATCTTGGTGTCACACGAGGGAGCACACAGGAACCCAGCACAGTGCACAGTTGGATGATGGCCTCCAAAGTCCCTATGCAGTCAGGGGCATCAAGCACTCTTTGTATGAGAAGCGTTTGCCTGAGCCTTGACAGCTTCACCTTCATGTGCCCGGACGCTCTCTCTACGTCACAGCGGACGACGACGGCCAGTGTCGCTGTCACCACTGTCATCTTCTCCATGGACGTCAGCACAGCACGCCCATCTGCGGTGCCCTCCATTGTCGACGAACTTTGAAAAGACACCGTCACCAGCAACCCTGCCTCCTCGCCGTGCACGCGTGTTCTCAGCACCCACATTAACGAGCAACGTCGGCCACACTCTACTCGTCTTCAAGGCGACCACGAAGGACGATGACATAACACAGGACTTCACCCACTGAAGCTCGCGCTCCAAGGTGCCACGCGCCGTCAGCCAAGGAGCCGAGCTCAAGATGAAATACTACACACTGTATGCCGGCGTAGTCACTGGAAGGGGCCACCGCGCTCCCACGTAGGTTGGAAGGCGCGGAAAACGAGCTATCCGCTACCCCGCCGCTGCGCTGGGATAGCCTGTGCGCCGCCTAGCCATCGTCACTCAAATTTTGAATGTTGGACGGGGACATTGCCGCCTTGTTATTTCTTTTTTTTTTCCCGGCCCCCACGTATTTGCGCCCTTCGCCTGTGGACCAACACGCCTCTTGAGCGGACATCCCAAACAGGATCACGGACATACCTCCCGCAGCTGCGTATACTCGTATAAAACTGGCCACGGAAAGGCCCCAAGGATTCGTCCTTGGAACCATTCCCCGAGGACAGGTCGAACGACACCTCCAAAAAACCAAAATTTCCCCGACGATTCGTCCCCGGGGCCCGAGAATGCCCTGAGGAGTCTCTAACGACGCCCTTGGTCTTTTGTTTTTGTTTTTTGAACAGGCCCGCAAGACCCAACTGCCGAGCCTCCGCAGACCCCCGAAAAGTTTGTAAAAAGTTAAATTAGTGGTGGTTTAAAACCACGGATGGTTTCTCGGACTTTCCCCACAAGCCATAATGCAAACACCTTGTCCAATTGAAGCTGTTGTTTTTCTTTTTTCCTTTTTTTTCGTATCAAAATGTTCTGATTGGGTGACGAAGCTTACCCTCCATTCAGAAACTTGCCTCTCGAGCTCCTTTTGGTCCACCTCCAACTGCAGGCAAATAAAAGCACGAAAAAAAAGAAGAAAAGAAGAAAAGAGTACAAACAACAGGAGAAGGAAAAACAAAGAAAATGAAAAACAACAGTGGTGTGTTAGCGTGTGAAGTCGGAGGATCGAATGCAAGACATACACCTGGAGGGAGGTTACACTAGCAGCGTTGAGTTTCCTTAACACCTGAATCTGGACGAGTTTGTGGAGATGTGCAGAAATCGCATTGAGTTTCCTCAACTGCACATCTCCACAAAGACATCCAGATTCAGCCATTGAGGAAACTCAACGCTGCTAGTGGGACTTGGCCCTTGGAGGGAGGTTCCACTAGGTAGCCATGTATTTGAATTAGTGTGACAGGTGTGCGACGGGTGGGGGAAGAGTGAGTGTCTGCGTGAAATAGGGCGTGAAATAGGGGAAGTAAGAAAACGACAAACCATTTCATGGCCCAAAAAACAAAACAAAAAAAGGAAAAAAAAAGAAGAGAAAATTTCAGAAAAATGCTAAAAACGAAAAGGAAGTGCTACCCACGAGCCTAGCTCAGTGGGGACACCCTTGAACTGTTGAAAATACGGAGCCGTGTTCGAATCCAGATGATGATGGAACTTGATGAGTCAAAGTTGTAAAACCAGCTATTTCTTTTTTTTCTTCTTTTTCTTTTTTTTTTAAGGCTAATTCTTTAAGCCCAACCAATTCAATTACCTGTCAAATCTGGACAGGACGGCCTTTCAGGCCTTTTTTATTGTCATTATAGTATTACGGGGAACCCCGTAGCGGCCACATCCGTGCTCAAGCCTCCAACGAGG